ATTCCTGGTTTAATAGAGAGATGAGAAAATGATGAAAATCAAGGATTTTCTAAGTTTTCACAAAGCAACTTCTGTAACTATTTTAACTAGCTGCTGAGATCTCCAGAATTAAATATTTTATTTCACGTCTATGCTAAAAGTCATGCATTTAATGTGTGTGCAGTAATATACAGGGCATACTTTTTTCAAATTTTAATTCTTTATTAATTGAAATTTTAGCAGAATTTTTTTCTTTTCTGAAAACAGCAGTTTTATGCATGCATTAGTTAAGACAGATTTGTGCATCTTGTTTACACATCAAAGGAGCTCTAACCATCTGGTATGTCTAGGCGGACACTCCAATGAGTAGAAGTTAGAAGCCAGCATTCTAATCATTTGAAATGTTTTATACCAGGGCCCTGAAGGTCCCAATTAGCCCTAAAAGGATAAAATTACTGTAAAAGTATTCATTTAGTAGATCAACTGACATTCATTGTTAAATAGACTACAGTAAAGTTCCACTAACATTCTGTAATTGTATAGAAGATGAGAATATTTATTCCTAATGATTACATTCCAGAAGCAGTATGCTTAGCAGCTGTTTTTCAGAGGGCATTACCAAGTTTATTATTATTATTTAATCCAGGCATAACTGTATAATCTTAAACAAAAACTATGTGCCATTCATCAACTAGTGAGTTATTCTAACCAAACAGATTCTTTTCATATGAATTTTTGCTCTATTAGGACATTAGTGCCCCAATTTCTATTTCAAAATGTAGCACACACATAAAAAGGGGAATCAAAATATTTTAGAGTATTCGTAATACATTCATCAAATAATGTAGTATATGGAATTAAATTCTAAAAGCAGATCACATAACTGGGATTTATGATATCATCTTTACCTACAGATGGAAAGAAGAGCCACACAGCTAGAATTAGTCTTACTTGGATATCCATTATACATTATTAGTAAAGGGAGAAATGCATGGGTAATTGAAGAGCTAATCAACAGTGTGATTATCTAAATCTGATCGCAGAAAGAAACTAAGCGTTAACCTACAACTATCCTGATGTTCACCAAGAAGATAAACATAACCACCTTAACATGCTTTTATGACTTAATTTTCAGACAGTAGACAAAGGGCAATAATAGACAGCAAATGTGACCCCTTACAGGTAACAACCAAGCCATTTTCTTCCCATGGAGGATGAGATCAACAAGAGGTTTGCATTGCATGTGAGGTATTTCAGTTCTAAGAGAAAGTTTCCTGATAATAAGGAGTTTACAACCCCAGAATCATCTATTGAGACAGAATGTCTCTCAAGATGTATGGAAAGAAATGGGTGACTTGACATCTGAAAGCAAAGCCAATCAGACACTCCCTTTTAAGGAACCCTTGTAGAAATGAAATTCTTTTCTTTGAAACAGACTGACCCAAATCATTTCTTAAAATTTGGATATGGAGTCTCCCTATAGTTGCCCTAGCTCCCACACCTCAGCTTCCCAGATACATGGGACTAAAATCATCTATGTTACTGCTCCTACTTCCAAAGTCTATTTGTGTGTGTGTGTGTGTGTGTGTGTGTGTGTGTGTGTGTGTGTGTGT